CCCCCCCCCCCCCCCGCCAAGTCCCGACCCAAACTAATCACCTCACCTACGTCAAGTGCACCTCGTAAGTATAAAGTCAAAACTTTTGACTTTAAAGTCAATTATACTTACGAGGTGCAATTGATGTAGGTGGGGTGATTAGTTTGGATGGGGACTTGGCGAGAGGGTTTACCGGAGGTAGGAATAATCAATTTTATAAACGAAGCTCCGTATGTGGACAGTGGCTTTCGTGACCACTGGAATCCAGTGGCCATGGAACCGGGCTCGTATTTGAATGCTATACACCATAATTAGAATTCAATTCGAATACTAATTTTAACATTCGAATACTTGGTTGTTTAAGAACAATTTTTAATACTCCGTAGTTTTGATAGAGCGATACTTGTTGAAGTATTCGGGAAAAAAAATTTCGGAATGCCACCCCCGACCCTTGCTAATGAATTTATAATACTAGTGAACGGGCATGTAGTCCACATCTCCAAACTAGCTAATATCAAAATCTATTAAAATTATGGTCTAGTGTTAAGCTAGTAAATCCAATGTGACATGAACAATATAATAGAGCAACAAACATATAGTGACTTGAATTGCCACTACTTGTTGTAGATGATGAAATCTTGCTTCATTTTCTTTATGAATTCATCAAATTTCTTGTCCCACTCTTCATCGCTCAACCTATCACTCCTCCCATCTTCTTCTTCTTCTTCTCCTCCGCTCTCATGATGTTCGCCGCCGCCCAAGACCACCAGTTCCATATCTTCATCTTCTGCATCATCTTCTTCTTCTTCTTGGTCATCTTCTTTACGGTGATGGTGTTGATGATCAGGATGAGCCCCGGGAATGATGCTTTCGTCCTGCCCCGCTCTTTCCCCTTCTTCGTCTTCTTGAAAAATGCTTCCTTCCTGATGAAGCTGCAGAGGAATACTTCCGGCGGATTTCTCCGGCGGCTGACTGCCCGGAAAATGGCCGGAGTTAGTTATGATCAGAACCAGAATCCCGTTGCAGAAGAGGAAGACGTAATTGGGGCTGGAGCTGAAGCGGAAGAGCAGCTGATTGATGAACGAAAACGAAGACGAGAACGAAAACGGAAGCTCCTCTGCCAGAAACAGAGGATTACAGAACTGAGACAATGCCAAGGAAAGCACTGACACTGAGAAGATCACCTTAAAAGACATCCTCGGAAGATGAAATTCTGTGTTTTTCATTAATTTTATGTTTTTTTCTTTGGGTTTTTGTGATTTGTTGAGAGAGGAAATTAAGCAGTTTATATAGAAGAAGAATTGAAGCTTTTGGTTTGGGAGTGGAATGATAATTGGGGCTTTCTCTGTAAGCTAATATCATGAGATGGGGTTGACCTGTGAATTCTCCGAATTGCCCTTCTCAATAAGCGTCCAATACACGGTTGTAGTGAGCTAAGTAGTAAATAATGCCTTCTCCGTCCACAAAGGACCCTACCACTAGGGCTGTTCATCGGTCTAAGACCGGACCGAACCGGACCGATCCGGACCGGACCGAAGACCGAAATGAGTAAATTCAAGGACCGAAGACCGGACCTAAATCTACTCGGGTTTGGACCGGACCGTACCGAAATATTTAGGACCGAACCGGTCCGGACCGATTGGACCGAAAAAAATACATATTTTTTTAATTATTTTGATCAATTAAATATATTTTAGACTTTTTACTTTGTACCATTCAAATAGAAAATGAATAAAAAAAATATGCAACCTTAAAATGAATACACAATATGAACTATTTCAATGTAGAAACATAAAAACAAATATGAAATGTTTTTTTT